TGTAGTTGTGGCGCGAATAGGCCTGGCAGAATACTCACGACCACTGTGTGGAGCATAATCCGTCAAGAGCGCGAGCATGCCACACTTCATCTTGAGACGCAGCGAAGCCACCCGGCCACTGCAGGCCTTGAATGCCACCACGCTCGGTATTGCGCGCGGTGCAACAATGAAGCCGACGCCAGCATTTGTACGCTCTTCAAGATCCAGTCCGCCAGATAAGATGGTCACATAACCACGTCGTGTGTAATATGCAGCTCCGAATCAGTGTGCCTCCTGTACGCAAATAATACCCCCAAGTCACGCGTGCGCATTACTTGAATAAGTTCGTCAATTTCGCAAACAGAGTCCCCATGTAAACCTTCGACGTTCCAAGTGCCAATCCTCCCCAGGGAACAAGGTCTGCATGTGGACCGCGGCCTGCCCAAGAAGAACTGTCACCAGAGTGTGGTTGAAGAACGTCGTCTCCGTGACTTTGTTCACGGTTGTGACTGGACGACTGCGAAGGCGGAGGCATCGGTGATGATGTAGAAGACGATGAGGTGATAGCCCCAGAAGAAGAACGTAGTGGAATTTCCGCGGATAGCTGCACGAGGGAGGTATCTTTGCCCTGTGGGATGCCGAAATTAGGGGTGGAACCGCATGCGAACCCTGCCACTGGGGCATTCGGTGGAGCTCCCGCTGGGGCCACGAAACGTGTGAGGGGTGTACCGATATGGGGTTGGAATCGCATGCGAACCCTGCCACTGGGGCATTCTGCGAAGCTCTCTCTGGAGGCACGAAACGTGTGAGGGGTGTGCCGCAATGGGGGTGGAACCGCATGCGAACCCTGCCACTGGGGCCTTCGGTGGAGCTCCCTATAGGGCCACGAAACGTGTGAGGGGTGTGCCGAAATTGAGGGTGGAACTGCCTGCGGGCGCTGACACCGGGGCCTTCGGTGGCGCTCCCTTGGTGGCCACGAAACGTGTGAGGTGCGATCCGAAATCGGGGTGGAACCGCGTGCGAACCCTGGCACTGGGGCCCTCGGTGGAGCGGGCCACGGAATGTGTGAGGGGTGTGCCGCAATGGGGGTGGAACCGCATGCGAACCCTGCCTCTGGGGCATTCGGTGGAGCTCCCTATGGGGTCTCGAAACGTGTGAGGGGTGTGCCGACATGTAGGCGGAATCGCATGCGAACCCTGCCACTGGGGCCTTCGGTGGAGCAATCTATGGCGCCACGAAGGATGGCGCCACGAAGGGTGCCGAAATGGGGCTGGAACCGCATACGAACTCTGCCACTGGGGCCTTCGGCGGAGATCCCTGTAGGGCCACGAAACGTGTGAAGTGTGTGTGTGCCGAAATTGGAAGTGGAACCGCATGCGAACCCTGCCACTGGGACCTTCGTCGGAGGTTTTTCTGGGGCACGAAACGTGTAAGGTGTGCAAAGGATGGGAGGAAGCAGGAGGGGGAGGAGGAAGGAGTGAGTGACGAGGGGCGCTGTCTCTTGAAAACGAGGACCCAACACCACAGGATAGTTGGGAAACATCCTGCAAGGAAACGGTCAGGACAAGTGGGACCCGATGATTTAAACACGCACACGAATGCACACACAGATGCACGTACACACACACATATGCACACACACAAACACACACACACACACACACACAAACAAACAAACAAACTAACACACACACACACACACAGACACACTCACACACACACACACACAAACACAAACACAAACGCACACACATACACACACACACACATACAGACACACACACACGCACGCACGCACGCACGAACGCACACACATGCACACGTAAACGCACACACACACACACATACACACATCATCATCATCATCATCATCATCATCATCATCATCATCATCATCGTCATCATCATCATCATCATCATCATCATCAGCATCATCATCATCACCCTCATCATCATCATCATCATCATCATCATCATCATCATCATCATCATCATCATCATCATCATCATCATCATAATCATCGTGAGCATCATCATCATCAGCATCATCATCAGCAGCAGCAGCATCATCGGATGTCGGGGGAGGAGAGATGATGGAAGAGCTACAACCTTCGACAAAATTAGGCTCAGTGGAGGTTGACGAGCCCATTCGATGTCGCCCCCTTCCGCCCATTCCATGCCGCCCTCCTCAATGTAGACGCAAAAATAAACGCGGCCTGCGCAAGCTCGACTCGGGATTTCCGCGATGGCCGGCACTGGAGATGGGGCGCCAACGAGTACCTTGTGCAGAGTGTCGCGCAAGCCCGAGACATCACACCGACAAGGAAGCTGCGCGACACATTTTGTTGGAGGCTAACCGTCGAGGGCAGTTCGCCTCGAAGTTCCTCCTCGCAGGTGGTCTGTGCGTCGCTTCGCCCGCGCGCTACCCGAATCCCTCCACTCCGCTTGCTTCCATGCCCACATGCACACGTCTACTCCACGTTCCGCTTGGGCTCGAGGGGCCTGCTGGGCCAGTGCGGCCCTCGGCTTCGATGGCCTCCCGCAACGCGGGCGCGGCCAGAACGGGCAGTGTCCGAGCTGCCGCTCGCGCCGACGCGATCCGCCCACGGCGGCGGAACCTGCTTGATTTGATACGCGGCAATGCCACGTGGGGCCTGCGGAGTGTAAGTTTACTGCAACTACGGGCCCCAGTAGCGTCCAGCTCTGTTTTCTTATGCTCGGGATGGACCCGTAGTTGATCAAACAATTGTGGTGTCTAAACAAACAACAAAAATTAAAACCGAACGACCACTTGAGCAATTACAGGCTAATCTGGAGCACGGAAAATCAATACGGAACGCTCCTGGGGGCCACAGTGGTTGTTCGTTTGCGATCGAGATGCGCGCGCCAAAGGCCAAACGCCAGGGCCAACTTGCCACCTCGTCTTCGAATTCGCTCTGTACGGCGAACCCTCGACAAGAGTAACCTTCAATGGAGGTTGACGCGCCTATTCGATGTCGCCCCCTTTCGCCCATTCAATGTCGCCCCATTTATGTCGAAGCAAAAATAAACGCGGCCTGGGCGGGGGCGGCTCGGAAGTTGCACGATGACCAGCATTGGAGAGGGGGCGCCAACAAGTACCTTGTGCGCAGTGTCGCCCAAATCCAGGACATCACATCGACAAGGAAACTGCGTGACACATGTTTGAGGCGAAGTTTGTCGAGGGCAGCTAGAATGGAGGCTAGGGAGCCATGACGAGGAGAGAGGCTCAGGCATCGACGGGGTGTCCAATGGTTTCGGGAGATGTTCGGGCTTTCCGACGGCGGGCGCGTGATCTTTGCAGACCACATCTGGATGTTGAACCAAGGCTTTTAACTCCTACACGCAAGTTCCAGGCACGTTCCCCATCAAATGAATACCATAACGACATGGTCAACCACGGTTGGATAGCAAAGTGTACGAAACAAACGAAGCTCATAGGTCGCAGCTGACAAGCAACATACTGAGGCCGACCAACATGGCATATTGTTCGACCACGGCTGGCAAATGAACACTGCTCATCCATGGTCGAATCTAATCCCCCTCTCCAGTCACCTGTTGCTGCTGCTTCCTCCTCCACCTCCTCCTCCTCCGCCTCCTCCCCCTTTCTTCTCCTCCTCCATTCTCCTCCTCCTCCAAGCTCCTCCTCCTCCTCTTCCTCCTCCTCCTCTTCCTCCTCCTCCTCTTCCTCCTCCTCTTCTTCTTCCTCCTCCTCCTCATCCTCCTCTTCCCCGCAGCCTCCTGCTTCTTCTCCCCCCTCCTCTGTTCACCCCCTCGCCCTTCCCTCTTCTCCGCGTCGCGCCTTGAGTCTCCTGGGGAACTCGCCCACATCCCTGGGGCTGGCGTTTCATCCTAACATGTTCCCAACCATCCTGTGGTGTTGGGTCCTCGTTTTGAAGAGACAACGCCCCGCATTATCCCTCCTCCCGCTGCCCACTCCTCCCCCACTCCTCCTCCCCTCCCAGATCCCATCCCTGCCTTTACCCTCCGCATGTCACTGTTCCGGCACACCCTTCACACGCTTCGTGGCCTGATAGGGAGCTACACCGAAAGCCCCAGTGGCAGCGCCCGCATGAGGTTCCAAACCCATGTCGGTGCACCCCTCAGACGTTTCGTCGCCCCACTGGGAGCTCCACCAAAGGCCCTGGTGGCAGCGCCCGCATGCTGTTCCACCCTCAATTTCGGCGCACAGCTCACACGGTTCGTGGCCCCATCGGGAGCTCCACCGAAGGCCCCAGTGGCAGCGCCCGCATGCCGTTCTACCTTCAATTTCGGTGCACACCTCACACGCCTCATGGCCCCATAGGGAGCTGCACCGAAGGACCCAGTGGCAGCACCCGCATGCAGTTCCACCCCCACGTCGGTACAACCCTCACACGTTTTACGGTCCCACAGGGAGCTCCACCGAAGGCCCCAGCGGCAGCGCCCCGCATGCGGTTCCACCCCTAATTTTGGCGAACCTCTCACACGTTTCGTGGCCCCGTAGGGTGCTCCAACGAAGGCCCCAGTTGCCCCAGCTGCGGCCCCACATCAGGTCATTTTCCTCGCGATGCTCGAAGGCCCCAGTGGCAGTAACCGCATGGCGGCCCCGCCTCATTTCGACACACCCTTCACGCGCTTCGTGACCCCAGAAGAAGATCCACCGAAGGCGATACTCACAACGACGGCACTCACAACTGCAAATGGTTGGGTCCGTCGACAAGCTTTTTTTCAATCTAGGGTTTGGGAAACGGCATGCACAGGCCCGTCGCAACTAAAAAATGTCGTCAATATCCTTCTTGCGGCGCCAAGATTTGAAGGTCCCCGCTCCCTCCCCCTCCTCCCCTTCCTCCCCCTCCTCCTCCACCTCCTCCTCCACCTCCTCCTCCCCTACCCTCCTCCGCCTCCGCCTCCGCCTCCGCCTCCGCCTCCACCTCCTCCTCTGCCTCCTCCTCCTCCTCCTCCCATCCTTCTCTCCTCCTCGAAGCTCGATCCCTCTCGATCCCGCCCACCCACCCCGAGGCAAGGGGTCCCGGGTCCTCCTTGAGCTCTGGGGCCTCCTCCTCCTCCGGCGCTGGCCGCGCCGCCTGCAGCGCACCGGGCAGGGAGAGCCCGCCGCAAGCGGAGGGAGGGGGAAGGGGGCACTCGACCGGGTAGACGCCTGCACGACCCAGCAGCACGGCAGGACGAGGACGAGGAGGAGACGAGCGTAGAGCAGGAGAAGGAGGAGGCGGAGGAGGAGGAGGAGGAGGGGGAGGAGGGGAAGGAGGGGGAGGAGGTGGAGGAGGATGAGAAGAAGAGGAGGAGGAGGAGGAGGAGGAGGAGAGGAATGGGGGAGGAGGGTGAGGAGGAGGAGGTGAAGGAGGGGGAGGAGGAGGAGGAGGAGGAGGAGGAGGAGGAGGAGGAGGAGGAGGAGGGAGGAGAGGAGGAGCTGAAGGAGGAGTAGGAGGATGAGGAGGAGGAGGAGCTGAAGGAGGAGGAGGAGGAGAGGGGCGGCGGAGAAGGAGCAGAGGGAGAGAGGAGGAGGAGGAGGAGGAGGAGAAGAAGGAGAAGGAGGAGGGAGAGGAGGAGGAGGAGGAGGAGGAGGAGGAGGCCCTCGCCTCTTCTTCTCGCAGGCCCCCTCCCCCACCCTCCTATTGAACGTCACGATCTTGTCTCGTTGCTTCTCGAACTGCTGCAAAAGGAACTCAGGATGAGGGATAGCAGCAGCCTCATCTCTGGCCATACGGTCCAGAGCAGCAGGCCAGAATTGTATGAGTTGGAACCTTCACGAACTGAATGGTTTCGGGCCCCCGATCCCTGCGTCGAAAACAAACCTCCTGCAACAGCTCGCCGTACTGAATGGCCTCCTCCATCCTCCCTCCTCCCCCCCTCCCTCCTCGCTCCCACAATCCCTCTCAACCCACTCTTCCATTATCAACCGCAAACCCACATCACTCCGCAAATCCGCATCTGCTTGCAATTACCAGCTCTGCCAAGGAAAATTGCCAGCTTGGATTTCGTTTTTCAAAAAAAATGGTTTCCAAATTTCCGGGTTTGGAGCGTTCCCGCGCTTGTCTGGAATGAAAATGAGGTTGCCCCGGAATTGTTCCGCGTGTGTCCTCCACATTTCCAGCTTCAGGGGGAATTTGCAGGCTTGTCCCGTCAATATCGACTTCCAATTCTGCTCTGCTGGCGACGTCATGTGTACCCGTCGGTCAGAAGAAGTGCGTAGAACCGTGAAGTAGAAGGCGTTGGTAGATTGGGCTTCCGCCCGCCCCCTGAAGAGGAGGGCAAACGGGAACACCGTTCGACTCTTGAAGCAGGAAGGCGGCTAACGTAGACTGGGATCTGGGGATCCAAGAACACCTACTTTCAACGACCGGCGTGTACCCAGCTTCCTGGTAAATTCTCCTTCTTCTTCTTCTTCGACTCCGCTCCCCAAAGAGATCCAAAAATACAGATTTTCAACGACCGGCGTGTGTCCAGTGCCCTGGTAATCTCTCTTTCCTCGACTCCGCTCCCGGAAGACCTATGCACCTCCCTGGGGGGGGGGGGGCTTGGGGGGGGGGGGGGGCCGGAGGCGCCAGCCTGCTCTTGGAGCTCGACCCTCTCGGACTCCAGTCTGCTGGCCTGCTCCGACAGCGGCTCCTCGGCGGCCTCGGCCCGAAAACAAGGGGTCGAGGAGGGGGAGGAGGAGCAGGAGGAGGGGAGGAGGGAGAAGAAGGGAGGAGGAGAAGGAGGAGGGAGAGGAGGAGCAGGAGGAGGAGGAGGAGGAGAAGGAGGAGGAGGGGGAGGAGGGAGGAGAGACGGAGGGAGGAGGAGGAGGAGAAGGAGAGAGGAGAGAGGGAGGAGAAAGGAGGGAATCGGCAGATTGCCATCTTATGTTGATTTCAGTGGCCCGTGTCTTGCCGACTCCTGTGGCTCGTCATATCTAGACTTCCGTGGCCCGTTTGCTGCTGATTACAAATCCCCTTTTTGTGTTGCTTCCAGTGGCCCGTCTCATGCTGATTCCGTTGGCCAGTGCTCGCTGTTGGTTCCACTGGCCCGTTTCTCTCACTTTTTCACACCGCCTGAGCGCTGTGCGAGTGCTGGGCGGCGCCAGCCGACACCGCGGCTCCCGCGTACTTCTGTGCCTGGTCCTACAGCGCTTCGCGTGCTTAAACGGCGCGCGCCTCCGAGCCAGGCGCACGGAGCGCTTCCAAGCCGAGGGCACTAATGGGGTCGGCTGCTCCTTCGGTAGTGCACTGGAGCCTTCTACGTGGTGCTGTTTCCGAGGACAGTATTCACGGCGCCCCTGGATCCCCTGGCAATCTATTCAGGAATCGCGCTCTCGCCTGAGACTTCCTGGCGACTTCTTGACGAATCCATCTCTCTCTCGGCGCTCTGCGATCGCGCTCTCGTTCGGCACTTCCATGAAATGTTCTCAGGAAGCGCGCTCTCTCCTAAGCCTTCCTCGCCATCCCCTCTTGCTAACCCCTCTTGCTAATTCGCCGGCCCAACGGGCCAGAGGCGTGCTAAGATCTCCGGTAACTACTTAACAATATTTCTAATTCGCGCGCGCGGGGCGGCCCCTGGGGGGCCCCGGACGAAAAGTACCCCGGCCGATCCCCGGCTGACCCCCGGGCGATCCCCAGGCGGGAGGCTATTTTTCGCCACCCCTCACAAGGATCGTGGCCTCCGAGGGGGGGGATGCCAACGACTACCCCCCCTCCGCCCCAAGGGGCCCCCAAGAGCCCCCCAAGAGGCCCCAGGGGAGCCCAATACGCCGCCACGGAGCCCCAAGACGCTCCCAAGAAGCCCCCAAGAGGCCCCCAAGACGGCCCCAAGAGGCCCCAAATAGCGCTCCAGGGACGGCGGAATGAGCGAAGCGATTAATAATCCATCTCTCTCGTCCTCCATCTTCTCCCTCCCTCTCTCTTGCCCCCTTCCCTCCACCCTCCCTCCCTCCCTCCCTCCTTTCCTCCACTTCCTTCCTCCCCTCCTTGCTCTCCCCGTTGTCCATTATGAATGTTTTTCCTGTCTTAAGGGCTGCGCCAATTACACGTGGCAGGGAAAGGAGATATACCCCGAAGGGAGGTACGATGACGACGAAGAGGGCGGGTATCGAGGCATAAAGAATAATTACATAATAAAAAAGAATCCTAAAGAGTACATAAAGAACTACTACATAAAGAATAACTACATAAAGAATAACTAAGAGGGGGAATACTAATAAAGAATACTACATAAATAATAATACATAATCCTACATAATCCTAAAACAAGAACTACCACATAAAGAATAACTACATAAAGAATAACTAAGAAGAGGGGGTACTTCATTTCTAAAGAATAACTACTGTTGATCCCACCTCCAGTGCCCATCGTGATTTCTCAACTGAAGTGCCACCCCCCTTAGGGATCGCACCATGCTCTTCTGCAAGGGGCGGTCTTGCACTTCAGACTATGCCCCTGGCTCCCGGTATACTACAACGACCGCTGCATAGAGAAACAACACAGAAGGTCATAAACAAATGTTCTTGGAGGTTCCTGCGGATTCTCTTCGGGTCGGGCGAAAGGGGGGGATAGCAAAGAGACGATTTCGAGAATCAGCTCACGCAGCTGATTTTCCCGGCGCCTCCCGGCGCCGGGAAGCGCCCATGTATATCGAGGAATGGGCCCGGCGGCGGGGCCGAAACCAGCTGCACGCAGCAGACTTCGTAACCCCCACTTTCCCTATCCTCCCCTTTCGTTCGGCCCGATCCTTCTTCTTCTGTCTTTTCGCTCGGCCCGATCTTTCTGATCGGCGATGCCCCCCCTCCCCTGGCGCGCGGAGCGCGCCAGGGGCGGAGGCGCCGCCAGGGGGGCCCCACGCCGATCCGAGAGATCCGCGCGGACCCACGAGAAAAGGTATGCTTACGTCGTCTTGCTCCTCGAAGCGGCGGTGCGCCCAGGGGGGGGGGGGGGAAGTGTTCAGTCGGGCGTGTCCCCCCTACAAGGGGATTTTGGGGAAAAATAGAAATACTCCCAAAAGACCCCCCAAATTGGCAAAAAGAGTCAAAAAATCGTGCACAGACGATCTGTTGACTACTTTTGAGTATCCCTCCTGTCGAGGGACAGGCCCGACTCCAAAGTATGCCCATGTCGCTCCTCGAAGCGGCGGCGCGCCCGGGGGGGGAAGCGAGACTGCGCAGGCCCTCTCGGAGGGCGGCGGGGCCTCCCGGAAGCCCCCGAGCCCTCCGAGAAGCCCCCTCCCCCTCCCCCCCTCCCCCTCCTCCTCCTCCTCCTGCTCTTCCTCCTCCTCCTCCTCATCCGCCTCCTCCTCCTCCCTCCTCTCCTCCTCCTCCTCCTCCCTCCTCCCTCCTCCTTCTCCTCCTCCTCCTCCTCCGCCTCCCCCTCAGAGTTCCTCCTGAGGCCAAAGTGATCCTTACGGTCGACCCGTGGGGGACGGTCCGGAGCACTCCCCCGGAGGCCGGAGGCCCTCCGGGCCTGCTGAGGAGGCCCGCCCCTTCTCGCTGCCCCCCCCGGGCGCGCCGCCAACCGATTGAGCTGCCACGACATGCTCCCAGAACTGTGGATGCCACGACAATGGGCACACTAACATTCCTATCATTGAATTAAAGATGTGCTTAAAATGTGTAGAGCATGCTCTAAAAGCGTTGCGAGCATGTGTTTTGCACAGTCAAAACATGTTTGAAACATGCTTTTGGACATCTGGAAATCATTTGGCAGCGTGCTTCCTCTCCACCAATCGACTTCCACAATCCTAGAACCCACAAGTGTTCCAAGAGAAAAAACAATGTCCTTAGAACATCAGCCCGACACGTTCGAAGAAGACAGACTCGGCCAGAAAGGTTCTAGGAACCTGCCGTGCGGACCACAAAAGGTTCTTGGAACATTCTTTGGTGGGCCTATACGCGAGCCAGAATGCAAGCACCGGGCCACACCGGGCCGCACCAGCTCGTCGGAACATCGGCATCCAACCGGGCCCGGCCGGCCACGACCGATCTC